TTTTTTTTTTTTTTTTTTTTTAAGAGAGAAGATTCTACTTTTTTGATTTTGTAAATTACTGTGATTACTACTTTGCAGAAGAGATTTGAGCAGGATCTCCTCTTTCTGGGATCTAGGAGATAGGTATCTAAGGAAAATACTAACTCTTGTGATTGTATCAACAGTACCATGTTCCTTAGTGAGATTGAGCCATAGTGTTGGTTTTAACAAATATTAATAATTTGGCTGAGAGTGCCTGTTTCTAAAATTTCTGCATCCAAAAGGGGATATATTAAGCATTTTTCTTACTGTAGGAGCTGGGCGTAGAGCTGTTGAATGTTTTGCATCGACTGATACTGACCAGAGAATCACCTGATATTCAGCTCGCTGCCCTTGAAGTGGTTCGGCTAATTCTTTTTGCAGCTCAGGAACATGTGAAAGAAAAACGCAGAAGTGCAGAAGGTACAATAATGTACAAGATGCTGAATATATCTTATTAGGGTTAACGCAATTCTTTGTTGGAAAACTGTGTTTTTTGAAGGTGATATTCCAAATACTTCTTAACTGAAGCATTTCACAGCTGGTCACTAATTGTGGTTTACTTATTTTCCAGGCGCCTGACTTAAGAAATGGGGGTGATATCATAGATAGGTGGCTTTGGAGGTGATTGGAGGGTGTGAACTGAGGAGAAAGTGAATACAGGAAAAATGGAGAAACTGCAGTGGGGAGAGCCTTGTGCAGTGTCAGGAAGGGAGGAATCCTAGGGGAAAAAAGGGGGATCAATAGAGCAACAAAGAGAGTTAGCACACACTGCAAGCCAGACTCCATTAATTCCTCTGATTGTAACTTCCTAAGGTTCTCTTTTTAAAAGAAGAAAAAAATCCGAAAACACTACTTACATCAAGTGAACTCTTATTGGCATGGTACCTCAGCACGTTTTAAGTCTAGATCTATTGCACACGCTTTTGCCGCATGATGGTCAGTGCATAGGTTACTTATTCAGAAGGATGAATGTCAGCCAGCAGAACTGGGAGCACGCTGTGCGGGTGTGTGTACACACGCTTATACGTGTCTAGATTATCATTTGACGGTGAAACAGTTCTAAGTAGTAAACTTTTTGGAAGCAAAGTACAATTTGCAGATTTCTATCATATTTCCTCTTTTCTGTTTTAGTTGATGATGGTGCTGCAGAAAAAGAAACATTACCAGAATTTGGAGAAGGCAAAGATACAGGAGGACTGGTGCCTGGGAAATCATTAGTCTTCGCAACGCTAGAGTTGTGTGTGTGTATTCTTGTCAGACAGCTTCCCCAGCTCAACCCTAAATTAACTTATAGCCCAGCAGTTCAATCTGGAAAACGTCTATTATTGTCAGAGGATGGAAGTAGACTGGTATCAGCAGCATTAGTTATTCTCTCTGATGTTCCTGCAATCTGTTCTCCTGAAGGTATGCTATTTCATCATAAGGAAAGACTAAATGAAAAAAAACAGGGCTGTTCTGAGCCCTTTGTTACTACCTAATTTTCTCAGCTGGAGAAATCTGGCAGCAAGTTTTACTGACTTGCTTGTGACAATTTTCTGTTCTAATTACTTTTGTTACTGTCTGATTATAAAACAAATCACTAAAGCAATTGAAAGAATTGTTTTTCTTTTCCTTCCGCATGCAGCAGTGCAATTAACAGATTAATTCTGTACAGAAAAGTATACAATAGCTACATGCTTCTATTCTACTTGAATCTTCTATTTGGGAATTTATAATGCAGCCATAAATTGAAATCAGAAGGCAAAGGTGTCGTGTTCCCTTTCAATAAAAGCCATCATTCGAACATTTGATCATTTGAACCTGTTGTAGGGAGTTCCAGTTAATTTCTCAATTATTTGACTTTCACACCTTTGACATGTTTCATTCTGGATGCACTCCAAATTTTGTTAAGGGTTTTGTTGCTGCTGGTTTTTTTTTTTTTAATATGTAATATTCATACGTATGATCTTTCAGTATTCATACAGCCATACCCTATAGACTATTTCTGCCGTAGGTACCTGTGCTATGCCCTAGGCAAATCTTTGCACTTACTAGCTATGGCAATTTTTTCTTTTTTCTTGCATTTGTTGTCCGTCACAGTATTCTTCTATCATGGTTGTCAAGCTTTCAGCTTTAGGAGACAGTGTACTCCAAGTGGAGTAGTTGATGGTTCTTGCTATCATTGCAGGGCGACGATATGATTTCTTTTTTCCATCTGCAGCCCATTATTTATCAGGTCAAAGCAAAAGGAAACAGACATAGCATCACTTGATTCTGAGGGCAGCTATCTTGTAAGAAAAATTATCTGTGATTTTCTTTTCTCCCTGTAGTACTTGTCGTCTTCAGCAGTTCAGCTTATTCCACAAACTTCCAAACCTTGCAGGATCAGACCAGATGCCTTGTTTACATTAGAGAACTTAAGCATTTAAATCAGGTGACTAAAATGAGTGTAAGCTTGCTATATAGTCAGTTGGATAAAGAGACATCTCCAGAGAGTGACTCAGGTCATCAAAGAAGAAACTGCCTATGTGGAATTGCATCAGTTTTTTCCTTGAATAGGAAACTGAAGTTATAGTCCTGTGAATACCTTTTCTCTTACTTCAGGTACCTGGGATGTTATGCTTATGCATAACAAAATTTACTAGTAAACGATGTTCGTGAACTGTATTTCCTACTGAATTCAAACATTCAATTTTCAGACACTTGACTTCTTAAAAATGGAAGATAAAGATCCTGAGGTGCAAGAGATATTTACATATATGTCAGAGACCCTCATTATTCAACAGATCTCTTAAGAACACAGTACAAATATATTAAATCTCAGACATAAGCATTCTGCTGAGTAAGGAGGGACTTAAGCATATTAAACCACATGCTAAACTGTGCTTTGCTGAATCAGAATTTAAGTTAGGAGGAACATATATGTATGCAGGATTTCAGACTTTCTCCAGCATGTGCAGGACTCTGTATTACTACTATATTCAAAGACATAAGACTATGCAAAACTGCTCTACTGAGTTATTCCTGGGATTTTTATAAACAATATCTTGTTCTGGCATGTCAACTACCAGATGCTCAGAGAGAGATAAGGAATTGTTAAGGAGACTGTGGGATAATCTACTTCTCTTAAGTCTCCTCTTTTCCAAAATATCTGTTAACTTTTGCTGTTATTCTGAGAACCTCTTGTTAATCTTGCTAAATTTTTTACTTTAATGTCTTCCTGGAGCAATGAGAGATCCTTGCCTAATTACACATCACGTGGGAGTAGTATTTCTTCTTACTGGTTTTGAAATTCCTACCTGTTAATTTCCTTCACAATATTGTCTTCATTGCAAAACATACTCTCACATAATAGTCATACCTACCTAATTTGTTTTCCACCATTCAAGAATATGTACACTTTAATAATTTCTCATCTCCTAATGCTCCTCAATGCTTTTGGTCTTTCTGTTGTTGCCTTTTGCTGAATCTCAAGTAATTACACACTTCATGTAATAAAACCGTCAGGGTAAAAAAAATGGTTTTTTTTTTTATTTATTTAAAAGAGGGAAAAAAAAGCTTAATGTCACTGAGGCAGTCTGGCTGCGTGTTTACTTTTGCAAGACACGTGGTATTTGAAACTTTTCTTCAAATTACTAGTGTTTCCATTCACACAGGTAATTAAAAATGATAAATTACAAATAAAGAAGAAAACCCAAGAGAGGTGCCTCAATGTTTTTTTAATGTCAAAGGTGCCTGGATTTTTTTCATTTCTGTGATACTCGTTCGCTTTGTTTTACAGGAAGCGTTTCAGTTCTTCCTACTATCTTGTACCTAATTATTGGAGTACTCAAAGAAACTGCTGTGAAATTGCGAGATGGCCAGGTACCTTTGACAGTTGCTGCATCTCTACAAGCTCTTAAAGGGCTCTTGTCTTCTCCGATGGCTAGAGCAGAGAAGAGTCGAGCTGCTTGGACTGATCTTCTGCGTAGTGCTTTGGTCACAGTGCTTGACTGTTGGGATCAAGGTAAGCCCAAATTTGGTTGTGTGTGTGTTTAAAAAACAAAAAACATTTGGGTGAAAGGTTGTTTGCTTATATCAAGTTCATGCAAGTCTGAAAGACTAGTATCTCAGTCACAGAAAAATCAGATGAATGCCCATGGGTTATGATTCCTTGTAAATCCTTTGATAGCAGCTGGTTTGAGGATCTGGTTCTACGCCAACTGAACTATTTGTGAGACTGTATTCTAAAGTTTATCAGTGCAGTGATATGGCTTTAAAAATGCACTTGCAAAAAAAAATTGAGATGGATCTGCTGCCAAACTCAGTAAAATACACAATTACAGTATCATCCCCAACATAAATCATACAGTTGTTTTCTGTCCTTGGCTATTTTAAATGGCTACTAAAATTCTCTTCAGCTCTCTGTTCAGCTCACAGACTGTTGTTAGCGTTTCTTTTCTCGATGACTCTCCCTTTTCAGTCTCCAAAATGGTATCTCTTCCCTGTAGCAGACATATCTAACGGTATTAAATATTCTAAACAGCCTTCTTTCATGTGTACAGGAAATATTAGTTTAAGAAGCACTGTGCCAGATTAATGACATTTAGCTCAAGCTGAACGTAATTATGCAGAAATGCACAAGTGTGCATGTATATATATACTGATATGCTATATTAAATGATAGTTGATGTTTGAAACTAACTCTGATATATCACATCACTAAGCGATGCTGAAACACCTTTTAAAAAGTGTTACTCCTTTAATCCATGTAAATTTCAAAGTGTCAAATCTGTAAAATAAAAATAAATAAATAAATAAAAAATTCTTTAAAGCATTCTTTATGCATAAAAACATAGACTTTCCTGTAATTACTTTTTTATATCTTGATCTACTTGGGACATATTGTGATGTATATTTGTTCTGAGAGAAGCAATTACCTTTGGCAATCTCACATTTTATTTTGCTTTGTTATAATAGCTCTATCCCAACCCCAGTTAACTGTTATTCATGTCAGCATAGCTCTAATAACACTCTCTTTCAACCGCTGTCTCGCTGGAGTGGTAAACATCTTTTAAAAACAAAATCTAAATTCCATATACGGAAAGAAAAATGAAATGAAATATATTTTAAGTGAATTGGAAAAGTTAACCTGTTCTAAGTCCTCAATTTCTTAAATTGCTTAAGATTTAAAAGATTCTATTGATGAAAAGGAAGCTTAAAATTAAACTGCTGCAAAAAGGAACACCCTGGCCAAACACCTTGACTTTGTTCAAGCAGTAAAGCCCTCTTTTGACATCAGTAGCTTCAAGTTGAGAGGATTTTTTTTTTCCATCATGATATATTTATTCAGTTCTTTCAAAACTAAAATTTTTAAAAGCTTGGTTTCCTCTTCTGAACGTACATAAATGAGATGTGGAGTGGTGAGATCTACAAGTTTTAAAATGTGGATGCTTATGGTGATCTCAAACAATGAGGAACCGTTGTGGCTTGTGAATTCAAGTTTGGTTATTTGAATCAGTGTTAAGAGCACTGTGAATTATTGACCCCGTTAAAGTAGTTTTAATTAACTAATAAAAAAAATTGTTTCATTGCTGTTACTAGCTGAATTCCAGTTTTCTTCTAAATAGTCCTTGTCAGTGCATGGACATGCATGTATTTGGAAAAGGGGATTCGTGGAGACCCGGACATTGATGTTTCTTTTCCACCTTTTTGTAACACTTGGATTTATAGATCTGCCTTTTAATGAGAATCTAACAGACTGCTTGCTTTACTGATAGCAGATGGGCTTCTCCAAGAACTTGATGAAGTTAGCCTGCTTACTGCTGTTACAGTATTTATTATGTCTACCAGTCCAGAAGTTACAACTATACAGTGCCTTCAAAAGCGTTGTATTGAGAAGTTTAAATTAACGCTTGACTCAAAAGATCCTGTTGTAAGTACTGGTCCAGTTATAAAAATATTTCTATTAACGGCATATTAAATGCAGTTTAGCTCATTTTCTGCTTTTTTCAGTTGTTTCATTGGTCCTATGTGTCGAGCCCAGTTAATTCCACTGTGTATAGATCTGCTCTATTTAAAGTACAGTTTAAACAATTTAGCAAAAACATATCCAGCAGTGCATTTCATCTTTTTTTTCCTGTATGGAATTCCATATTCCTATGATATTTTTTGATTGCTTCAAACTGACAGCTTTATCCTTTGATAAATACGTGATATAGTTGGGTAGTGTTGCAGTCACCTGCTTCATTTTATCTCTTCATTTTATCTTCAAAACACAGATGCCACTTTTTGTTGAGGAAGTCCCTAAGCTGCAGATCTTTGGGAGCTGGGGGAATATACTGAGGAAGTACCACTACATAACTTGCAGTCTTTCTTAAGCATCCACTGCTGAACACTGCTGGAGGCAGTATACTGAACTAGATTAATGTTTGTTCTGACCTAATACAAAAATTTTTACGTAGTTACTTTAGCTTGTAGTACTACAGGTCATCTGTTACCATTCTTCGTCTAAAAAAAGCAACAAATCAGAAAAACCCATTTGCTTTGTTTATTATTATTATTATAAATACAAATGGCTTTTACAAAGGTTGGGACTTGTTCAGTCGAAGTCCAGCTCCGGAAATAACATGCATTAGGTTTTGTGTTTTAGTAATGTGAGAATTCACTGTAAACTGGTTTTCTTGCATCTTCTCTGTATATATTCATGTAGTGACAAAAAATGAAATAAAGTTACCTTTAACTTGATAAATACTCAGCTGTAAAAATATTTTTTAGTATATTAATACGTCTGGTATTATAAATGTTGGTTTCCACTGACAGGAAACACAGAATGCCAGATATGACCGCAGAAAAATGGTAGTAGTATATAATCACACATTTGCAAATGTTATCTAAATGCTTTAGGCATCTGCCTTTCAGAAATCCTGTGGGTACTTAACAGTTAACTTCCACTGACACATCAGCTACTTAAATCATTTGAGGCATTTTAAAATTTTGCCTCTAGTTTGGCAGAGGTAATAATTGCATTCTAAGCACCTATTTTTCAGTCAACTATATTTTTTCAAAAATAAATATATTTTCAAATAGTATGAAGATATAATCTTTACAAAAAATAATTTTATTTTTCCTTAACTGGAACTTCTAGGAAGATGTAGGACTCAGTGGAAAGAAATAGGAAGTATGATCTAGTTTCTGTTAATAATTTGATTACAAGTTACAATGCATTAGTAGCCTGTGACCTGATGAACTTTCAAGTCGAGGCACATTTTTTTTTCCCCCCTCTAAAATTTTATCTGACAAGCTGTAAGTTTTAAAACACTCTGACTTGTATTTTCAAGTATAACTCTTTGTAACTGCAAATTTGATTTTTTTCCCTTTAGGTACAGCATAAATGCTACCAGCTGCTGCACTCCATCTTTCAGCACCCAAACAAGACTGTGTCATATCCTTATATTCATTCTTTAGCATCATCCATTGTGGGAAAACTGCAGGAAACAGAAAAAGTAAAACCTGAGAATGCTGCCGAACTTCAAGTCATTCAGGAAGGAATAAAGGTGGTAATAGCTCTTACAGCTACAGCTGAGGAAGAGCACCGTAAGTACTTCTGTTACTAGTATCCAGAGCATTAGATATGCTGAAATTTGCCACACATAATAAATGAGGAAAAAAAAAATACCGCTAGGAAATCCAGTCCTGAACAATAATTGCTAACTAAATTGCCAACAAGAATATTGTTTTTTACTGTATAGTTCAAATAACAGTTGCTGCTTTATAGTTTGTGTTAAATGTTAGCTTGGCTCATGAGAGAGAAATACTTCTAGCTAGTATTAGAAGCCGTTCTTAAAAAGCATATCTAAGTATTGTTTTGAATGTTTATAGGTGCCCATTTGGTCGCCTGCCTTCTTCCCATCCTTATTTCCTTTCTTTTGGATGAAAATGCCCTGGTTTCTGCTACAAACTCGGCAAAAAACCTACATGAGTTTGCTTTGCAAAATCTGATGCAGATTGGTCCACAGTACTCATCAGTTTTTAAAAAACTAATAGCTTCCTCTCCAACTATGAAAGCCAGGCTTGAATCAGCTGTAAAAGGCAATCAAGAAAGTATCAAAGTGAAGACTGCTAAACATACCAAGAATCCTGGGAAAAGTTCAAGCATTCAGCTAAAGACCAACTTCCTTTAACGTCTCTTACTATGATTGTATGCACTTTGACAGCAAAAAATGTCCCTGTTAATTTCTAATCAGAGTAGAAAGAGTGGATCTCATATATAATAAAGTTTGCATTGAATCATCATAGGAAGTTTTTAAGAGAAAGCAAATCTCTAGATAACTTTGTTAGTGTAATATACTTAAAACATTTTTGAACACTATGAATAAAATCTGTCAGAGGTCATCTAATCTGTATTTTTGGATAATTTTGTATTAAAATACCGGAAATGCACATGTGTGTATTAAAAAACTATAATAATGATAGATAAATTTAGGAGCAGCCCACACTTGGTCACTAAGTACATTTATTTTGTTTTAAATCAGCGTTTATCAAAAATAAGTTACTCTGGATTTTGGATCTCACTGGGATATAAATTTACTTGCAGATTGTGATCTATCCTAATTAATAAGTTGACGTACTGCATCGTTAAGTAAATAGATTAAATAAGCCTTACTATGAATTATGGTTGATCTCAAAACAATTCAACTCAATAGAGATAATATTGATAGCTTTAATTGCAATAACTTTTTGAGCTGGCCAAGATTTAACAAATGCTGTTAAATATAACTTTGTAGTGCTTCTTCAGTGAGGCCCCAGTAGTGCTTTATACAGTGGGACTATTATGCTTATGTAAGTATTTGCAGGCTTGGTGCCTTGCTGCTTGACATAGTCTCACTTTTCAGGATGTATACTTGCGTTAACTTTGTATTATGTTATCCAGGCAATTGAAGCTTACGTATCTTGTCCAAGATAGGACAGCAGTTTTAATACACTGTGCCTCTGATTCAGACGTCTATTCTATCTGGATGTATGTTTCCCGATCTTTAGATGATCACTTATCTATACACGTAACTCTCCTTAATATACATATCTCTACAATGAGAGATGGAAATATTTGAAGTCTGCTTGTCTTATGTTAAATAAAGTACAACAAACTCGTATTAAGGAGTATTAATTTACCATTTTTATCAAGGAGCGTTTTAATATAGAAAAATAACTAGTAAAATTGCAATGGCTATAAAGTATTTTCTACATAGAGCGTACTGACTTCTTTCTTAATACCAGTATTACCTAAACCAAACACTATCAAACTGAAGATAGTATTTCCTTGTTGAAACTGAGTAGGTGGAAAAAAAGCATTTGCAGAACTGAGAAACACACTGTGACTCAGGAAGTGTGATGTACTGTATTTTATTATAAGCTTTGTATATAAATATAATTGTAAATTGTACAGAATTAACCCTCTGACCAAAGTTCTAACAATTCCTTTTTCTAATTTACATAAATAAAGATAATTTTCTTCATTTAAGATTTGTCTTAGTCTTTTTACCTAATAACAGAGGAGTCCTTAGGACTTCTATAACAGAAAAAGTTTGTAGGCTGCCACAGGGCAACTAATAAGGAATAGTCTGAGCAGGATGCAACAAGGTCTATGACTTGACAGTGGAAGTTTTCTCTATTCTATAAAGCACAACGGGGGAAGTAAGCGGAATCAAGGCAATGTACTTCGTATATGTAAATACCTGTTTTGTGTCATATGCTGCAGTGTGTGAACTGTGGGAAGGTGGCTTAGATGCCTTCCATCTTTCTCTGGAGAATCAGAAGTTGCTTATTCCACCCTTTTAAAGCAAACGGTCAAAGTTGTAGTTATTGTTGGCTGTGTCAAAAGAGAATTCTCTTAACTTTGGCAGTTAGTGATCTCGATCTCATTAGTCCTTTCTTGATGTCGTTACTTTCCCCCTCAAAGTTGACAAAAATTTTTTGATGTTGATTTCATCGGCTCATGTTCCCTTACTTTGTTCAGAAGCTTTTTAGAAACATGCTCATCTTGCATGAGCAGCAAGGAAGACTGTTAAAAGCCAACAGTTGAAGTTTAAAAGTCCTAGATTTCTCAGGGAATTTCACTACAGTAGGTAGTATTTAATTGAACTAGATTCAGAAGTACCATACTTATGTGATTTGGTCGTCTTCATCAAGTCTTGCAGCCACATGAGAAAAAGCCCCATTTTCAACATATCTGTATATTCTAAATGCAGAAACAAAAACAAGTTTCTATAAAGAGAGAACCATTGATAGTTCATAATGCTTGTAAGTTAGGTCATATGCATGAGCTTAATTCATTACGATAATTAATTTATCCACATACCTAGTAAAATTACCTGTGTCCTGAGTTTGTACTTTGTTATTTACACTTAAAGCAACAAACTCGATCATGTGAGTAAATCCACTTGTTGAAGATTGTGTAAATGAATCTATTAGAGAAACGATCTTGTTTCAGTTGTAAGAAGAATTTGGTTATGCAATATCAGATATCTTTGATGTAGTCTTCTTTATTTACAAAAAGCCTGCATACATTTCTTTTTTTCTTGAAGAAATAAGTAGGAGCATAAAGTGATCTTGGTTTTAATCTACTCTTCCATTAGCCAGCACTTGGCATTTAATCTTGAATGTTTAGCTTCCCCCACACCGTACACCAAAGTCTCACAGTTATCACTGCTGCTTCGTGTGTCCTATGCCTCCTTGCTGATTGTTCTTTCTAGTGTTTTTTCAAAAGTACATAAATACCTTTTTCACCAAATTCTTCTTTGCAATGAAGCGTGTGGCCTGCATGCATTTCTATTTTGTATGATGCTACTACTGTTTCTTTTAAAAGTTTGATGCTAAAAGGTCCTGATTATGCCTAACCAAAACTAGAGAGAGACGGGTACATCACAGAATGTAACGTTTAATGGTTTTGCAGAAACAATTTGCAGGCAGCTTTTTTACTGCAACAAAATAGGATTAGCCAAAATGATGCAAAAGCATCACACAGTTGGGGTGTAGTTGTTTTTAACCAGATACAATGTCCGTAGCGCTCCAGCTGAATAAGCAGCATTTAGAATAGTCTTGTTTAGACTAGAAAACTCAGGTTCTGCTCTGGTATGTTCTAAGGTGTAGCTGGCACCTTCAGGCTGAGAGGAGCACCAGTCAAGTGACGCAGATAACACCAGAAAATAGGATTAAGAAATGCGCAGGAAGCATAGCAGTTGTTTATTAGTATAAGTCAGTTAATTGGAATTTCTAAAAGGATTTTTTTCCCGAAACTGCCACAGCCACAGTAATGATGTCAGTCACTGCAGTTGCAGGAGGGATGTGTCTAGGATGGGCAGTCAGCTTGGTAATGCATCAGAAGTAATAGTAATACGGCTTAGTAGGGATCAGGCAGCTAATTCAATGGAATTTCAATCCAGTTTTAAATTGAGTGAAGCTGAACATACTTGTAATAACCATGTATGAGGAGTCACTGTGAATAGCGAACTTAAGTTGACCACGATCTCCTCTAAAACTTCATCCCTAATCTCAGTGCTAGTTACAAACCTGTTTGGCAAGAATGTTTTCAGCTTCCTGAAATGTAACTCTATTTTATTAGTAGATAGCAAGTTAGAAGCTTTCTCCTGTGAGAACATACTGTTTCTTAACTGTGGTCTAAATCTGTCAATGCCTCTTTTCTTCCTGTGGAAAATTTGGCCAGTGATACTTCAAGTGAAGCAAGAAAGTAAGGAGAAAAATCCTTAGAAAGTCGAAACTGTTTGTTAAGTTTTTTTAACAAAAGAACATACAGCAAGGTAGGTGGCGTGTGTTTGTTTTCCCTGCTTCTCTGCACAGCAGTGTCTTAAACTACAGGAAGTTACTCCTGCCTACTGCTCAGAGGCCTTGATTCTGTGGGCTTTCCTAGACACTGCTTTTTACATGAGTAAACCATGTGGCCTGATTACTCATTTTGCCAAGTAAACTTTCTCTTAAAATATAGAAATGATGAGAATAGTTGTTGAATTGCAAACTCTGACCCTTAAAAAGAGCCAATAGAATAAAATTAAACCATACGTTCATGTAGTATGCAGCCAAGTCTTAAAAGATAGATGAAGATATGTCCGCACCCCTCTCTCCTTAGTCATGTTCTGAACTGTTGCTGTAGATGATATTTCACACAAGACTGCAATTCAGTTAGCTAAACTCTATAACAAACAGTTCTTTTTGCACATACTGGCTAAACTATTTAATGACAGTGGGATGTAGCTTCAAGGATAAAAAGAAACCAAGAAAGCATGTTTCACCGGGTATTTACACATTTTACCCGCCCCTTACATATTTTAGATTTTTAATATTTCAAGTTACTAAGGTAGAGTAGAAAAATAAAGATGCATTTAACGCATTGTTGTCTGTGCAAGAAAACACTGAAGATGCCAGTACTGTGTCTGCAGCCTCTCCGAAAGGTTAGGTAGTTCTCCTTTTGTTTCTGATGTGCAGTTGTAGATTTTTTTTTTCTTGAAGTGTTCTCTGGAGAATAAATGGTTTTATTACATACAACAACGAAAGGGGAAGTGACATCTAAATATAGCAAAAGTAGGGCTGAATATTTTCTCTGAGAAACAGGTCAAAGCACCAGCAGGCTTCCAAAAATTACCTAAATAATCTATGATAGATTAACCTAAATTCACTTACTTTGCAGCTGAATATAAATATTGCTCAGTGGTCCTGCTCCCACTTACATAGTCCAAGTCATGTGAAATGCACTTTCAGAATCTCGTGTTGCGTGTGGAAGCAGATCTCCTTCATCTGTGCTTGTACTCTGGCTGCTTAATGGCAGCACTCACAAGAGAAAATAAATTGAGATGATGAGTACCAGACACAGCAGGACACCTTTTCAGTATGCATATTACTTATATATGCAAATTTGTCCAGACAATGCATACAAATGCCTATTATTTATATATGAAAAGAAGTTTGCAAATGAGAAGAGTCTGCTTCTATAAGTTGCTGGTAAGAAGCTGAATCTAGTGATGGAAAAGACTGATGATATCACGTTCTCCTATTCTAAGCTACCGTATCTGATGTCTATCCTAAAATTGAAATTTTTAAACATTTTAAAGTTCATATATGAAAACTCTTGTAAACCATCTCTCTGCTAATGAAATGCAATGTGGAATTGCTAAGACTCCTAACTGCTACCAATGTGAAATATTCTAACTTTTTATTTTAACCCTCTCTGAATAAGATCTTGTTTATGGGATTCTTATAACCATTTTCTCTACCTAGCATCTCCATTCTTTGTATCCTTTTCTGCAAAAAAGGAGAAGGTTTTGTATGAGCCATTTGTTTTCAGTGAAAGTACATGCCTCAGAGGTTGTGGAAACAATTCTTATTTATACCTAAAATATAAATACTCTATAATTTGAAAATACAACCTGTCTTTATGAGGGCAAATGCTGCTCTTAACCTCAGCCCTTCTCATATAAGGTACATGGCAAACACCAGAAAAAAAATGCCACAGATAGATGTATGCATGTTTTACGGGAAACACAGATACAAGAATAACTGGTTCAAGTTGTTGCTACCAAATTTATCTGAAATCCAGTTAGAGGAATAAAAGAATCTGCCTATAGGAAAAATCAGGTTTTCCTTTATGATTGTGCATCAAATGAGCAAGGGCAGGGAGAGGGGGATGGAGAGGGAAGAGGGATAATAGAGGTAAAAAATGCAAGGAAGAGCTTTTTCACTTCCAATCTGGAAGATAGATACAATCTAACTAGATCTCACTACCTACTTCCAGCAACAAACAAATGTGCTCATCCTATTTTCATTTACTACTGGAGCTGTGATTTTAAAATGGTCAGATTGTCCACACCGTATCCAAAGATTTTTTGGTCCTGTTCTTATTATGAACTGTTCTACCTGACGCCTAACAGTCTGAACAATAATACTCTTGTTTAGTGTGTGTATGTTTTTCTTGAATGCAGGTAGAGGAACATAGAACAAACTCGCTAAGTTGGCTTGGTAAGGGTCTGTGCTGGTCTGCAGAAAATCCAGATATGACTTATCAAAGCAGTGAAGTGTTTAATTGTCAGGGAGTCAAATGACACAATAATGTGATCAGTAGGAAGGCGGAAGGGTAAACTGACCTTTTGCTTCCATGTTCCTCCCAGTCCCATTTTGAGGCCAACAAATCTGGGAATAATTTGCTTCGGTAGAGCGAGAACTCTCAAGCTGGTTGGAGAGGAATAATCAAGAATGTCAACAAGTGAACTTCAGTTCTAGCCACCTTCTAAAACACATAGGAAATACAGATATATATGAAGCTAAGGGCTGCAAAGGCTTGCAGCCTTCTATCTTGATTTTCCCACATAGATATAGAGATATGGAAAGAAGGCCATACCTACTCTGCAGGTACAAAGAAGAAAGACAATCAGTGGGCATGGTGTGAACGAGTGAGGGAGCGACGGGGGGGCGGGGTGGGGG